GTGCGGGACAGATTTTCCAGTCCCGCCTGCTTCCGCAGTGTTCAGTCACGCTCCCGCAAAGAATTATGTTTTTCAGTCGCTCCCCCCCGCACCTGTAATACTTTGTCCCGCCTGCAATTCCTGCATGATTCTGATGTTCGCCTACTGCTCAAGGTAATTCGTGTCATTAGTTTGAGGAATTAAACACGCTGTGCTTAGCTGAGCACATTACTGGCCGATTATACATAATCTTATATGCCAATTATCATCACGTTCAAGGATTAAATAAAAATATAATAAGTTATAATTAATAATTTTAAACACTGTATCATGGAGCCCCACCCAGCACATTGTGATGTATATATATGATAGACATAGATTGATAATTTATTACTTTATTTTACGTAATTGATGGACCACGGATGGCAAACCGTGGTACTCGCTGTATGTTAACGTACTTCAGCGTACTTCAGCGTGCTCATAACTTATACAAACATACCCATAACTTATACAACGTATGCCAGCGTTTTTGCCTGATTTTTCGTACGTCAGGCAAACGCTGGTCTAAATCTTCTAGGTGTGACAGGAGCTTTATCAGAAGAAAGGAAAACACCTGGAACATCTGGAAAAGTTTTCTAGAGAGGAATGGGAAGAGACCTCCATTTGATCCAAGACCGTCCAATGTTAGATCAGGGTTCCCAAACTCAACCCAGGAGGGAACTCCTGAACCAAAGAGCTGAACTACCTTCAGGATTAAATCCGCTGTTAGATTATCTGCTCTTTTCACATAAAGAAGAAAAACTACAGCAGATAAATAACATAGTTATGTATAATATATTACATTTCTGACTGTATATCCCTGTAATTATTACACACTGTAGCTTTAAAGGCTGATTTTCAATGTAAGATTCTGCTGCTGCAATAAACCTGCTTTTAAAGTCGTCACCCAGCAGTTCATCTGGGAGTAATTAGCTGAAGATGCACAGGGTGCTGCCTCCTCTCGTTAACACGGCTGGTGTCGTTTCAGAGCACAGTGGCGATGATCCCGGCTCATGACAGTCCTCTGGCAGCGCTGGCCTTCGACGCCTCAGCCACCAAACTGGCCAGCGCCTCGGAGAGGGTGAGACAAACTAACAAACACCACCTTCTCTGAAACCTTGGTATTTACTCTGAAAGGAGGAACTCTTCTACCTCCTTTCTGATCTAAAGTTCTTGAGCAGTGTATTTCCACCAGAATTAGCTTTATGAAGAGTTTCTCTGAGGGTTTAGAACTCATCATAGAAACGTATCTTTATAGAAAGGCTGTAGGAGTTAAAGGAACAGCTCTAGACTGGTTTAAATCTGATCTGACAGATTTCACTTTGTTCATGTTCATCCAGGGTTACCCGTGGAGTACCGCAGGGATCAGTGCTAGGACCAGTTCTCTTTACGATACAGTGCCTTGCAAAAGTATTTGACCCCTTTAAATTTTTTGACGTTTTTTTTTTTTCAGGCTTCAAATATAAAGAAATAAAACTGTAATTGGTTCACTGGGACGGAGATTTATCGTCCAACAAGACAATGGTCTAATACAGAAAGCAGTGTCTATAATGGAACGGTTCACAGAGAAACATATCCAGTGTTAGAATGGCCTAGTCAAAGTCCAGGCCTGAATCTCATCCAGAATCTTTGGAAAGAAGTGAAAGCTGTTCTTCAAACGTCCTCCATCCAACCTCACTGAGCTCCAGCTGTTTGCAGGAACAATGGGAAAACATTTCAGTCTCTCAATGTGGAAAACTGATAGAGACAAACACCAACAGGCCTTCAGCTGCAATCACAGCAAAATGAGGAGATATGAAGAATTAACTCAAGGGGGCTGAAAAATTTTCAGTTTTTTTATTTGTCAAAAAAATTTAAAATATCCAATCATTTTTGTTCCACTTCATGATTGAGTCCCATTGGCTGATTTTATATTTTATGTTTTAAGCCTGGAATAATATTTCTCTCCAGGATGGAGTCACAGCCAAACAGGAACAGAAATAATGAAGCTACTATGAGAAAAAGCAG